GCCTTCCTCAAACTTACAAACATGGACCCTGCACGGTCCCTGGATGTTGGAAGATTCCGAAAACCCAGGGGGGACGGGCGGTTGAGGTTTGGATGGATTCCCCTTTTTTTCTGGTCGCCACGCATCATTCATGAATGACATCACCATATTTTTGAGAATTGATAGTTAATTATACGGTAATTATATGGTATATAATTGATAGTCAATTAAAAATTGATAGTTTATCATTTATGATAATTGATAGTTAGTTATATGGATATGGGTCAAATTGGGTATCTCAATGCTTAAGATGATCAATACTCAATTTTTTTTAACATCTGTGGTCGCTGAGTCTTAAATGCTGTGGATGAAAGAAATCCTGCACTACCTTGGATAGTTGAATCCCTTTAAATAATGGGATAAACATCCCGGCGGGTGGGAAACCGCGCTAGCGGTTAAGCACTTTTTGAAAAGAAGCTCTTCTGGCGCTGTGGCGCCGTACACATTTTATGATGAACATTACCTTAAATTTTGCCGGTCAAAATTGAATGACTTTGAAGGAATGTCGTGGTATTTACAGGGTTTTGTGGTTGTGGCGGGGTGGAAGCCTTTTCCTTGTTCTTCACTGGCTTGTCACTTCTCCAAGCGTTTGCTTAGAGCGCGGCCTGTGAGACTGAGGAAGTCAGTGGAATTTCCATGGTGCCTTCGCCATTGCCAAATCCTTATTCCTTGAAGCAATTGAGGGTTCACAGCACCATCTTTACGTGTGCTCCAAGAGGATGACACTGCACCTTTGGAAAATTTCCACATTCCATCGATGCCACCGGTGTGCACTAGCAAGTTTCCCCATTTCTTTTTCTTGGTGATGCAGAAGATGCCCTTACTGTGATTGCAAGCTTCATGAAGCAGATTGTGTACGCATGGTACATGAACGTTAAAATCCCACCCCCCCCACCCAACCCCTGACCAGTGACGTAGCAGCAGCGTAGCATCCACGTCTGTACGCATGGTACATGAACGTTAATATCCCACCCCACCCCAACCAACCCCTGACCAGTGACGTAGCAGCAGCGTAGCATCCACGTCTGTACGCATGGTACATGAACGTTAATATCCCACCCCACCCCAACCAACCCCTGACCAGTGACGTAGCAGCAGCGTAGCATCCACGTCTGTACGCATGGTACATGAACGTTAATATCCCACCCCACCCCAACCAACCCCTGACCAGTGACGTAGCAGCAGCGTAGCATCCACGTCTGTACGCATGGTACATGAACGTTAATATCCCACCCCACCCCACCCAACCCCCATATTCAAAAAGTAGCACGACTACACGCGCGGTTTTCCACCCGCTAGCATAAACATGGATAAACCACCTACCAACTCGTGCAGGATCTTTTTCCATCAACAGTACCCAACTAACATAGATGTGGAAAACCATGGAACATTCCCCGTTTATAGAGAATTTTCCGAACGGGAAACCATGGCTTTTCCACATGTTTTTGTGTGTTTTTGTGTGTTTACCTTGGGGTAGATGGTTAATTTTCCATTACTAACCATATGACTAGCAATTATTAACCATTAACCATCTATGTTAGTTGACCCAACAGGATGGTGCCCCCCAGTGATGTTTGTTGGTTTATAAACCCCATGAATACTATAGTTATATCTGCCATAAACCATAGTTATGGGAGTTATGTGAACCCCAACTTAGCGATTCCGAACTGGGGCACCACCTTGCAGGGTCTCCCTATGTTGTTGAGACAACAATCTGCATTTTCAGCCAGGCGAACACGGTGAACAGCTCCAACGAAACAGAGACCGCGCAGGCCGCACATCGGGGGCATCAAGGGGGGACCGCCATCATCCAGTCCTGGATGACAATGCCTAAAGAAGTGGCTGAATTCTATGGTTTATCGTAGATATAACATGATATAACTATAGTTATATCATGGGGGTTAAAATGATTTTAATGGTTTATAAACCAACTTATGCTGGTTGGTGGTTTGGAATATTTTTTATGACTTTCCAGAAACAGTTGGGAATGGAAAAATCATCCCAACTGACGAACTCATATTTTTCAGAGGGGTAGGTATACCACCAACCAGATATGCTGACTGGGGATCCAGAATTTTAAGAACCCATCTGAATGTTCTTGAAATCCAACTGCGGGGCCCTGATATGGCCATTGGATAGGGAAAATCATGATTGGCCATCACATTTTTTTGGCCGCCTACATATTTCCACGTTGGGGCATCCCCATTTAATCCACATAAAGTCTCGACGTAAGCACATCAACCAATTCTGATCAATCAACCATGGTATGATATTTAGGTGAATATGCACATGTTTAACCGTAGATATATCAAACACACACAATTAAGTTAACCTAGTTATAACACAACTTAGCTTATGGTGCAACAAATTGTTAGTATCTCCATGTTTATCCCCAATTTTACCAATCAACCATCATTTTATCACTTACATGACCACATTATTGATAGTTAACCCCATGTTATTGATGTTGGTATCCCTAGTTGTCAAAACTAGACATTGGTCTTGAACCATGTTTTCGACATTTGTCCCTAACAATGGAAGATTGCGAACCAATTCACACCAATTAAACCTGGTGTTTTTTCCACTCACAAAAATCATCACTTTCCCATTCCATCCCCACAGGATGGTGCCCCCCAGTGATGTTTGTTGGTTTATAAGCCCCATGAATACTATAGTTATATCTGCCATAAACCATAGTTATGGGAGTTATGTTCACCAACTTAGCTAACGAACTGGGGCACCACCTTGCAGGGTCTCCCTATGTTGTTGAGACAACAATCCGCATTTTCAGCCAGGCGAACACGGTGAACAGCTCCAACGAAACAGAGACCGCGCAGGCCGCACATCGGGGGCATCAAGGGGGGACCGCCATCATCCAGTCATGGATGACAATGCCTAAAAAAGTGGCTGAATTCTATGGTTTATTGTAGATATAACATGATATAACTATAGTTATATCATGGGGGCTAAAATGATTTTAATGGTTTATAAACCAACTTATACTGGTTGGTGGTTTGGAATATTTTTTATGACTTTCCAGAAGCAGTTGGGAATGGAAAAATCATCCCAACTGACGAACTCATATTTTTTAGAGGGGTAGGTATACCACCAACCAGATATGCTGACTGGGGATCCAGAATTTTACGAACCCATCTGAATGTTCTTGAAATCCAACTGGGGGGCCCTGATATGGCCATTGGATAGGGAAAATCATGATTGGCCATCACATTTTTTTGGCCGCCTACATATTTCCACGTTGGGGCATCCTCATTTAATCCACATAAAGTCTCGACGTAAGCACATCAACCAATTCTGATCAATTAACCATGGTATGATATATATATATATATATATATATTTATATAGGTGAATATGCCCATGTTCAACCGTAGATATATCAAACACAAACACAATTAAGTTAACCTAGTTATAACACAACTTAGCTTATGGTGCAACAAATTATTAATATCTCCATGTTTATCCCCAAATTTACCAATCAACCATCATTTTATCACTTACATGACCACATTATTGATAGTTAACCCCATGTTATTGATGTTGGTATCCCTAGTTGTCGAAACTAAACATTGGTCTTGAACCATGTTTTCGACATTTGTCCCTAACAATGGAAGATTGCGAACCAATTCACACCAATTAAACCTGGTATTTTTTCCACTCACAAAAATCATCACTTTCCCATTCCATCCCCACAGGATGGTGCCCCCCAGTGATGTTTGTTGGTTTATAAACCCCATGAATACTATAGTTATATCTGCCATAAACCATAGTTATGGGAGTTATGTTCACCAACTTAGCTAACGAACTGGGGCACCACCTTGCAGGGTCTCCCTATGTTGTTGAGACAACAATCCGCATTTTCAGCCAGGCGAACACGGTGAACAGCTCCAACGAAACAGAGACCGCGCAGGCCGCACATCGGGGGCATCAAGGGGGGACCGCCATCATCCAGTCATGGATGACAATGCCTAAAAAAGTTGGTGAATTCTATGGTTTGTTGTAGATATAACATGATATAACTATAGTTATATCATGGGGGCTAAAATGATTTTAATGGTTTATAAACCAACTTATACTGGTTGGTGGTTTGGAATATTTTTTATGACTTTCCAGAAACAGTTGGGAATGGCAAAATCATCCCAACTGACGAACTCATATTTTTCAGAGGGGTAGGTATACCACCAACCAGATATGCTGACTGGGGATCCAGAATCTTAAGAACCCATCTGAATGTTCTTGAGCCATTGGATAGGGAAAATCATGATTGGCCATCACATTTTTTTGGCCGCCTACATATTTCCACGTTAGGGCATCCACATTTAATCCACATAAAGTCTCGACGTAAGCACATCAACCAATTCTGATCAATCAACCATGGTATGATATTTAGGTGAATATGCCCATGTTTAACCGTAGATATATCAAACACACACAATTAAGTTAACCTAGTTATAACACAACTTAGCTTATGGTGCAACAAATTGTTAGTATCTCCATGTTTATCCCCAAATTTACCAATCAACCATGATTTTATCACTTACATGACCACATTATTGATAGTTAACCCCATGTTATTGATGTTGGTATCCCTAGTTGTCGAAACTAAACATTGGTCTTGAACCATGTTTTTGACATTTGTCCCTAACAATGGAAGATTGCGAACCAATTCACACCAATTAAACCTGGTATTTTTTCCACTCACAAAAATCATCACTTTCCCATTCCATCCCCATGATACTTGTATCTACCACCATGGGGGGACATCCAATGATTGATATACCTTGGATATCCCATTGATATACCGGTGATGTACCATTCTAATCCCACTATTCCGTTCCAATCCCATTGATATCCCATTCGAATCCAATGGTCCAATGATTTCTGGGGCAAACCACTAGGTCCACTAGCTCATTGTTGGATTGAGCAGGCCAACCTCACGGCTTCTCAGAATGCCTCGAAGCCGCTGGAGCCATTCATTGAGTCACTGAAAATGGGGATGGTTTCAACCGGCAAAATCTTGTTTTCACATGTTTTAACCAGGAAAACTTGTGATTTCACTAGCCAAATCATGGTGGTTTCACAAGTGAACATGGTGCTGGCTCTACAGTCAAAGATATGGATTTTGGCAGCAAACATTGTTGGTCCGCCATCGAACCAGCAAACACTTGGTATTTCAGTTAACATTGGGATGTAATCAGCAAAAATGGTCAGTGCAAAGTTGGGGCTTGACTGGGATTTACCATGATTTAGCTCGCGAAAATTAGGAATTAGGGACTTAGTAACAATTCAATCCATTTGTTCATGATTTTCCCACTGGCAAAGCTTACATTTTCCAGTGCTAAGTTGAACTTCTGGAGGCTCAAATCTCTAAAGTGCAAGACTGAGCATCTGAAATAGAAGTCATGTCACTTCTAGGCATTTTTGTTTACCATCTGGTTATTTAACATTAACATAGCCATGGAAAATCTCCATTTTTAATAGGTAAACCCAGGTAAACCATCTATTTCTATGGGCCATCTATACCATGGCTATGTTAAAAAACCAAAGGGTAATGAATGAGAGCCACCTTTCTCCCTTATGAAATTGCCATTCAGAACGGGGTCCACGTCATCCCGTTCTGGGCAAAGATGTCGCTGCAGGACGGCCCAGAACGTAGTTTGCCCATGGTGAAGGCCATCCGGCCCACCAATCCGAAAGTGGCAGCGGCCAAGGCGCCAGCCATGTTGACCTTCATAGAGGGCCTATCCTCTGGTAAACATACAAAAAAATATGGAAAATCAGCATGATTTATGGTACTTGTAACTATAGTGTTAATGGAGTTTATTTCAAGCAACATACAGACAAACTATGGAAAATCATGATTTTTAATGGGTAAATCAACGAACTAAATTGCCATGTTCAAGTTCGCAAACTGTAAACGTTTACAAAACGAGGGTTTGGTGAGGAATCTGCGGAAGTGGTTCACAAAGAATCCTGAAAATCATGGGGATGAATCCTGTCCCCTAATTTTGGGGGTAACCAGCCAATTCAGAATGACATTACAATCCTTTGGCCCAGAAAATAAGAATTTTTGGGGTGTGATGTCATCGTAATGTGGTAAACCCCAAAGCATTTTTACCTCCCATTTGGGGGACGCTTGATTTCCCAATCATTTCTGATAAGTCATTGTGGAAGTTTTATTATGGGGTTTACCAGGTTTACCACATTCTGCCCTACAAGACTTCCACATCCTAGCCTATTTCTGGTAAGTGGTAAACCCAGATCATTTCTACTACATTTCAGACACACTCTATCCCCACATGGTGGTTGATTGATGCCCACATACAAGAAATGTCACCGCTGTAAAATCCGATAAACATATTGCTGACATTACCAAGTTTACAGGAATCCTTGAATTTGGATGATGGGAAACTATACAGGAACTAAGTTTTTTCTTAGGCTATAAGCCCATGGTTTCATGTAGATTTTCCCTTGGAACTATACATTGATGTGATGGTTGAAAGAGGCTATTCATCTACAGTATTCATCCCATTTCCCAATTTTATCCCCATTAAAATAATACAGTACTAGAACAGTTAGATTAATTTTTATGACATCCCAGATTTTCCCAGATTTCAATGGCTATTTCAGGGACCTAAATTAGAGGTACCTACCAATATATATATATAATTATATTATGAATGGCAGCAACCAGTAGCTTAAGCAACACCTGTTGATGAGGAAGTCCTTGAATTAAATTGCACCAAAACTGTAATTGGTTACCAACCTCCGGAAAACAATTGGTGGCACCAAATCCCTGTCCACAGGTATCCGCTATCTTTCTGTTTTCACCCAAGCTGACCACAGCGTTCCAATGATCTCGAACGGCCACGTCCACAAGCAAACGAAAAGGGTGACGCCTGTCACGTCCTATGGCTAGAAGAACTCTTTGAAGTGTGATAGCGCCGCCAAATCGACGCACCACAGCGGCCGCAGCCGCTAATCACCAGCTGCAGCGCCAGCGCTTGCCGCTCCATCAGCAGCAGCATCATCAGCGCCAGCGCCATCACTTGCCACCTCCACATCATCAGCGGCGGCACCATTTGTTCTGTACAGCGCGTCCCACAACGCGTGCTGCACGCAACCTAAGTACCTAAGAATTTCCCGCTCTAAGGCTAAGTAGCCCTCCCGCCCAGCATCCAAACTCTCCTGAGCCAGTGCCTATCGGAAGGCAGGTTTGACCAATCGAAGACAAGCGACCTGAGGTAGCTTAAATGGGAGAATCACATCCGTCAAAAATCTTTCTTTTGGTCAAACCTGATTTTTCGTTTTCATTCTCCAATTGATGGTTGCTGTAGCCATCGGATCCTGTCTCGGGTTTGAGCTCTATCTTTCAACGTTGAGGCTTCATCATGCAGCCGATAGGATCCCAAGCGCAAGGTCTCTCTGAGAAAGTGGCACTGCATTGCTTTTGTCAAGCAGTCTGCTAGCTGGGCACCAGTGTGTACCCATCGTACGCTAATGCCTTCTCGGAGTGCTTCTTTTATTGCCCTAGCTACCAACTGAACCCGAAATTCTGAACATGATGGTGGGGCCGTACGGGTAATTAAATCATAGAGACTTTTACAGTCAGTGATAGCTACATCATTAGTTTCATTGAAAGTGGGCACTGAAATGGCTGGTTCTAACTTTTGGAGGGCCTTTTCGGGATTTTTCCATTGGACCTTTGAATCATGAATCCATGACCAAAAGAGTCTGAGCCATGCCAGCTGGTCGATTGCTGCTGCAAGGGATGTTGTCTCTGCTGAGAGTGTGCTAGTGACTACCTTTTGAATTTTCTTTGATCCCCAGGAGATTGGGCTTATGGGGCACTGCACATTATTATTGATCTGTTGATGGGTGCCTACAATAATCATACCAGCATGGGAATCAGGTTTACGATGTGAAGCGAATGAAGCGTCAGAGAATGCCATGAAGCGGAAATCTTTATAGGGAATCGGTTTAATGGTTATCGTGACGTCATGATACTTTTTGGCTTCATGGAGAAGTTTGTTGGCTTCTAGGAGATCTTCAATTTTGGCTTTATTGATGGATGATTGAAGTTGGGATAGTCTATTTGCTAGGTCAGGGCGTGTGTTGACTGCTGCATACTGTAGTGATCCTACAAGACCGCGCAAAAGACCGCGTTCGGCTTCTGTGATCTCCAGCTCCATCTGTGTTTTGCGATTGGGTTCAATTGGGATGTGTTTGATCTTTCGGACATATGTACTCTGACTCATGATGATGCTGTTGTCTTCTTTTTGGGTTAAATCAATTCCCGTAAAGGTGAATGAACTAACCTTCTTTGCGCCAAAGGGGTATTTCTTCTCTAGCTGGCTGATTACATCATGAAACTGCTGATTTCCACCCCCAATCCCATCGTCCACATGAATTTCCAAAATACCGGCAATCTGTGATGGGTCTTCTTTGCATCGAAGGACAAATGTACATGGGTCAAAAGGACTGACTTCCATCCCAAGGGCCGTGAGCTCCGAGGTGAGTGTGCAGTACCACAAAAAGGGTGCATCCACTAGGCCATACGCACTTTTATTCAGTTTGACAATCTCATGATCTGACAGGCTGAGAGCTTTGCGGAGTTCCTTTACTGGTTCAAGTCCCATGATTCTTCCTTCTTGCGGTTTACCCTGTAAGAATGCGGCCTTTATATCAAAAGATAACAACTGCCATGAATGAGTGGCAATGGTCTGAAGGATGAGCATTCTTGCAGTCTTACTCAAAGTTGGACTGTCTCGGGGAATTTCTTCGATCTGAGGATCTTGATAGCCTAGAACAACGAGTCTGGCCTTTGGTTTATGCGACCTTAGGGATTTATATTCGATTTCATCTTGGTTTACCCCATCTAAGGGTTTCCATGTGAGAATCCAGCGACATTTCATGATTTGTTCAGCTGGTATTTGATCACGGAGAACCTTGGAAACGGTCTGTGTATGTAACCAGTTGTTGATTTCGGCTTGCTTGGCATCCTCAAATGCACTGCGTTCTTGTGGAGATAGCTCTGACAACTGAACTTCGGTGCGTTGCTTGGCTGCACCGGTCGTGAGCAAGATCCAAGGATCACTGTCAGGCCATTCTTCTTCATTCTGGGTTGGCACTTCAAATTCACAACGAAAAACAACATCATGATTGAGGTCATCAAAAGCGGAACTTTCTTCACACAACAACAGCTGCTGGATCTCTTGTGTCTCAGAATCGGATGTATCGGGGAGTGGTTGAGATGACTGTTGACTGACAGCATCTGGCTCTTGATCCGGTTGTGGGATTGATTCGACTGAGCTTTCCAATCGCACTCTCTCTTGAGGTGCGTCATCGGCATGTTCAGGACTCGTGGCTATCTGATCTATGCTGATGGGCTCATCTTCAGCAATGCTGGGCAATTGGCTCATTCGGTTGATTTGTTGCTGCAGGGAAGTTAAGTCTGTTGGAAGTTCTGGTCCATCAGGCTGACCTTCATCTGGCAGGGACCTGCGTACATGTTCTGGGGCACTTCGGTATAACTTACCTCCTTGTGTTGACCATACAGTATGATTGGAGTCCTGAATGATTACTCTTTGGGGTCCTATCCAACCTGGATTCTTGATACCTTGGGTTCGCCAAATCATTACCCATTGCCCTTGCTGATACTGACCCCGGTCGGGACAGGATCGCCTCAGAATTGCTCTCCTGAGGTTGTCGCTGTTGTCAGCCACATGATAGGCCTTCCGAGCCATCTCGCGCATCTGCAACTGCTGTCGAAAGTCATCCTGTGACATGGTTTCAAGTTCTTGCAAGGCACTCAAATGACTCGGTATGGACTCATCACTTAATATAGATCCAGGAAGTCTACTTTGTTTGCCAAAAACAATTATTTCTGGTGAGTAACCATGTCTGACACTGAGCATGTTTTTCGCCTGTGTGGATTGGTTGAGGGCCAATTGCAAATCTTGATAGCTACCAATGGGTTGCTCGGCATCAATCTTATCCAACATCTCCTGGAGAAACTTGCCATGACGTTCAATTTTTCCCATCTGCCAGTGTGCTTCTGGGCTAATTGAGGAACATTGGATATTGAATCGTTGAGTGAACCCATTGAACTCCTCATTATTGAATTCGGTGGCTGCATCTACAATGAGATTACTTGGTGCCCCGGCCCATGAAACCCAGTGTTGGCTGATGATGCTGATGGCGTCCGCTGTCAACCGTGAAGGAGCTATGATGGCCATGTGAAAATTGGTTCCGGCATCCAACAAGTGATAGAAGTGAAAGGATTTTCCGGCATGGTTGGTCCAGGAAATGCCATCCATATATACTTTATGGTTAAAGTCCATCATGGCCTTCAGATGACCGGGCCGCTGATGCTTGGGTGGTGATTGTTGTGCACATACTTTACACCTAAGTTCTCGAGCAGCATTCACCACTTCGGGACGATGACCAGTTGATTGCAACGCTTTGGCTAGTCTTTCATTGCTGGGATGGCCTAGATTCCTGTGCATAAGAGTCAGTTGGTTCTGCTCCCACTTTGGTAGGGATCTAAATCGCATGGTTTGTGAAGGCACTGGACCAGTATCGGGAATTTCCTGGGAATCACCTGTCTCTTGGTCATCGGCCGGCTGAGTTTCATCAGTGTGTGGTTCCAGCTCTGTACCGTGGTGCACGGATTGACTCATGTCAGGCTGTACATGACTTTGTGAACTACTGGCTGATGCAGGTTCGGACTGGACACCATCGATTGGTCTTGGCTGAATAGGTCTTTCGTGAGCAAACATCGTGATATTCAACTTACAGGCATGTGCAGGTCTAATCAGTTGACGGTGGGACAACTGATTCCATTTTTCCCAATTTTCCTCATATGCTACCTGCCCGGATGGTCTCAGGATCATCAATGTTTTTCGAAAGGGTGCTTCTTCTGCATGAACATGTGCTGGCGGTGGTATGGTTCGGTCCGTACCGCGACATGAGATGACACTAATAATAATTTTGTCATTGAACATTTGCTTCAACGGTTGAAGAACATCATCATCAGTGATCTCAACTTTGCCAACTCGAGGAGTCTGTTTGCTGATTCTATTCAATATTTCTTGACAGTCTTCCAAACATGGACCTACATGTTGCTTACCCTCAAGTCGACGGCGCTTCGTTACCTGCTCAGCTCGGCTTGCTGGTTGGATCAGCTCTGACTTCGGGAAGTTATTCCGCCCCTTCTGCGCGGCGGCCTGGGGACTACTTCGGGCAACCAAAACTGACTCGGCAACATCGCAGCATGTCAAGGCGATCATGCCATGACTCCAGCGAAAAGGCCACTCTCGGGAATTGGCAGTGATTATTTTGGCAATCAAACGTGCAAACTTTCTTGGATAAACTTCGGTGTATGTAGATCTTCGCATGCGATGGTCATTGACTTTGAGACTACCCTCAATTGGCTGGTGTTCATGATTTTGGCGGCATTTTCGGCCATGCAATGCTTGATACAGAGTCGGGCTGGTGGTCAGTATAGTCATTCCCTTTTTGATGGGCTTTCCGTTGCTGGGATCTACCAAGGCACCAACTTCACACAGGTCGAATTGGCAGGCTTGCGTAAACTGGTGGATCTCTGAAATCCCAGGTTGAGAAAACATCAATGATTTGGATGGTTGTTCCCAATGGAAATGGCGACCATGTTGAATCTGAAAACGATATAGTACTAATCCCAAAGCAACTTGATACAGCATGTCCATGCACTTCTCCAGATATTCTTGTTGACTTTGGCTACTCCGGGATTCATTGAATCGTGACCATGATGACCAGGGTCCACAAACAGGGGAAAACCATACATTCTTTGGTTGGTGAACAATCATCTTTTGAAACAACTTGGCTCTGCCCTCAACTGTCGAGAGATCGCCCTGCTCGATGCCATGGCGGAATGCAGACTGGCCTTGTTGCAATACCTGATGTGTCAGGGGTGATTGATTACTGCAAAAAACTTCAGCTAAGGAAAATGGACGGCCCACTTGTCGGTGGTGTTTCACGGCAAGTTCCAGCTCCTTCTGAATCAACTCAACTTGTTTCCACAAATGCTGGATTTCAGGATGAACCTGTGACCCTGGTTCTGACACATCATCGCAACTGACTAGTCCGTGTTCGAGTCCTCCTGGCATTCGGGATTCGTGGCCACAACCTGACCTTCGAGATGCTGAATCACTCGGCCCAATGCATTCTCCATGTGAAGAAGTCTGGTCTGCATGGCTAGGAAGTTGGGATCCTGTGTCAGTGGGGGGCTTTCCATATACCCAGGCTGGTATGTCTGAGAACTCAACTCCCAATCGGCTTCTTCCATGTCGGGCAAATGAGTGATGTCGGCTGGGCACATCTGGGATCGGTTGAGAGCCATTGGCTTGGCCTTGGCTTTCATGACAGGTCGTGGAACCACTGGCCTTTGGTTCAGTGAATTCACCTCGCTCAGATTGTCGGGCATCATCTTGATTGGTGCACCGCTCATTTCGTGTTTCTCGATCATCAGTTCGATGTACCGAATGACCAACCGATGGGACATGCAGCGGCTTTGGGCATAGTGAGTTGCGATGAAGCTCACCCACGATTGGCCCTTCCATGCAACTTCGAACTTCTCTCCGCGGTGTTTGTTGCCGAAATCCACCTTCTGGTGATGAAGGTCCTCCAGTCGGTAATGGGACAGGTCCGGCAACTCTGCATCTTCCACTGGTTGCTGCAGCTGCTTCAGGCGCTGGTTCAGCGACATGGGTTGGTGCAGCGATCTCTGAACTGAACGATACTGACTTGGTCGCAACTTGATCACTGGTGGCCGCTTCTGCTGTCTTGATAGTTTCAACTGGCTCACACTCTGGGTTTCCTGCTGGAGTTTGTGATTCCAAATTGCTTGAGACATTTGCATCTAACGGTTTGGCATGAAAACTGGTTAAATCATTTGGCTGTGGTTGCTGACATGTGAGGGTATCGGCTTTCTGATCAGAAACACCTGGCTGATTCTGCATGACTGGCTGGTCTTTATTCTCCACGGTGGCAAAAGTCTCGGTCTTCCTGGCAGAATTCAGAACAGATTGTCCTGACATTTGTCTGGCAGCCAACGCGACAGCATTGATGTCAATGAGAAACAGACCACGGGGCGTGAGTTCAAGTGGAATGTCGTGCTTAAACATATGACTGCTGACGGTCTTGGCTTGGCAGTTGATGATGGCTCGGAGAGCTCGCATGAGAGTTACAGAAACCAAAAAGGGTGTCCCACCTGGTACCACGGCTACTTTCAGTTTTAATGGTCCAATTGGTATCACCAGTGCATGTTCACTTTGGAGGGTTCCCTCATTCCCAAACTTAAAGGTTACCTGGCATTTTACTCTGGTTACCTGTTTCTTGACTTCATCATTGAGTCCATCAATCAACTCTGCAACATGGTTGGATCCTATCACGGTCTTCGACGCACCCAAATCAAGCACCCCCCAGGTTCCATGAGTTGCAAACAAAATGCACTGAGAGTCATCGGAGTGATTGACATGTGTCGGACCAGGATCCTTGGCATTGGATGTTCTTTTGACATCGGTCGCAAAATGCGATCTGGCATGTTGTGTCGCAAAATGCGACTTCAGGCACTTTGGTTCAGGGCGGCTGTCCTGGTGACAGCTCTTGGCATGTTCACTCTTGGCTCCATCACTCCTGAGGTGTTGACAGAGGCGGTCATGTGCACAACCATGTTCTATCCCACTATACATAGACCTATGGCATTCAACAGATTTACCCAAAATCCTCCCTACATACCGGTGTCTATGAGTACCCTGGGTTACACAGCTGGCAAAACATGGGCTTGGTTTGGTCGTGTTCTCCTGATCGGCATCGAGAGTCTCAGCAAACTCTTCAGGCAGGCTTAGAAATTCCAGTGGCAGGCTATCCATGGTGGCATCATGTGAAATCACTGTCGTGGTGGGTGCCATGCTTCCACCGGTTGTGGAAGACGCCGCACTTGACTGGCTTTGACCCCTCTGCGGGCACTCAGCTTTCCAGTGACCACGCTGTCCGCATAGACGGCATGTGCTCTGCATGATGCGTTCTTGAAGGGTCTTTTTGGGACGGCTGTTCCAGTTCGAAAGACCCTTGCCTTTGTTGAATCCTTTTCCACTTGAAAACTTCCCTTTGGCACCTCCTGGAAATGGCTTGCTTGGAAAGAAACCACGGTTGCGAAATCTCTCGGACAGTCGATGACGAGCCTGCTGGTATGATGTCAGGGCTATGGCAAGACTCTGATCTTCCTGAATCGTGTCTTGGGCTGCCAACTCAAAATCTCCGACCAGAAGTGCGTCAGAGTCACCCTGTTCCATCAGTTGTTCGATGAATTCTTCCTCAGTGAGTTCATCCTGAGCATTGCAAATTGGCTCGATCTCATCGGTGTCACCTGCCGTTTCAGTGTGCAAGGCGGTTTGATCATAGATCTTCGTGCGATTGACCTTCTTCTGATTGGTCATGTCCATGAAAAAACTAGCACCCAAAGTCCTGATTGCATGTGTCACACGTTTCACAGTGAGTTTACCATCAACTTCTGAATCCAAGATCACCTTCTTCTTTTCATCGCTAGTCAACAGTGAACCTCTCAACATGATGTATGCCTGCAAATCTTCCAGACTCATTTTTCGCGCTAGCAGTCGGGACCACATCACGTCTGACCTGGCCAAATAGGAGTCATTGGTTTCATCAGTCTTTTGTGACGTCTCGAACAAAGCCTTCTCCGCATCTTGGTATTGTTGCTCCAGTGGAATCTTGCCCCATTGGCCTCCTAGTAACTCCACCACACGGTGAACTGACTTCTCCGTACCATCCAGTAGCTCACCTTGATGAAGCTGTAGTTTGGCAAAGGCTGATCCTTTGCATCCTAAGATCAGTCTGGTGACAAGTTCTGTCACACGGCCTTTCGGCCAGGCTGCATAGACAAGCTCCACCTTCTGTTGATATACCAAAAGGTCATCAACTCCTGGGTCAAACGTCGGTACCAAGGACGACAGCTGGTTGCTCACGCCATTGGTCGATTGGGCTTCACTCGATTCAGCTGCTGTTGTAGGCATTTTTCCTGGATGCTCCAAACTGGAGCTCCGCTACCAGTATGAATGGCAGCAACCAGTAGCTTAAGCAACACCTGTTGATGAGGAAGTCCTTGAATTAAATTGCACCAAAACTGTAATTGGTTACCAACCTCCGGAAAACAATTGGTGGCACCAAATCCCTGTCCACAGGTATCCGCTATCTTTCTGTTTTCACCCAAGCTGACCACAGCGTTCCAATGATCTCGAACGGCCACGTCCACAAGCAAACGAAAAGGGTGACGCCTGTCACGTCCTATGGCTGAAGAACTCTTTGAAGTGTGATAGCGCCGCCAAATCGACGCACCACAGCGGCCGCAGCCGCTAATCACCAGCTGCAGCGCCAGCGCTTGCCGCTCCAACAGCAGCAGCACCAGCAGCAGCGCCAGCGCTTGCCGCTCCATCAGCGGCAGCATCATCAGCGCGAGCGCCATCACTTGCCACCTCCACATCATCAGCGGCGGCACCATTTGTTCTGTACAGCGCGTCCCACAACGCGTGCTGCACGCAACCTAAGTACCTAAGAATTTCAGGATTGTTGTCCCATCCAAATCTCCAAGAGATAGCCTTGATGGGCATTGGGTGTGGCCTTAGATCAGCAACCGGACTGGCAGGACAGTGCCAGGCAAGATGTTGCCAGGAACCAAGGGTGTTGTGACAAAAGGGACACAATTCGCCCCTCCAAGCAGGACTCACACTGGCCCCAACTGACACTGTTCTGCAACCAGCATTGGTCGCAGCGACCTTACGAATGAGATCCCAGTCTAATGACAACAGGTCCTTAGCTTGTGTGTGATGCAAATCCTGCACTTCATGACGTGAGGTATGAAGAACTTGATCCCAACACCACAGTCGCCAACCATCTCTGAGAAGATGTTTACCAAGTTCAATGTGAAAAGTAGAATCGTGAAAATTGACGGCCAAACGAAATTCATGGGTCCAATTCCATGGCCCTGATTCAATCCAACCCTTGTCACGCATCCATTTTCTCAACGTAGCCACAGGAGTACCCGCAATAGAGTTCCAGGAAGCCAGCCCTTTGTTCCAGATGCCATACACCACACGGAGAAGGTTGGTAGCCGCGAGGATGTCAAGATGATTGAGTCCTCCATGAACCATAGCTCTGATCCATCTGTTTGCCATGTGAGTGACACGTTGTCCAGCCTTCAAAGCATTCCACAGCTTTGTGCAAAGCCCTTGAGTGGGGGAGCGACCAAGCCAGCCATATGTGACCTTACTGATGGCAAAATACCGGGAGTAGAAAGCATACCTCTCAGCCGACAGCCGAAGAGTAGCAAGGAGTTTGTACTGATTGCAAGCATCAGCCACGCGAGCATTCTCTTTGTCGCTATTTCTCCGAGGTGCCCCACGGGTGGACACCCCAAGGAACGTAGCTTCCTGGACAAACATACTTTGGTTGTGCAAACACGCTTGAAGGGCCTCTTTGTTTTTGAGTGATCTGGCCGTGCATTGACCCTTTTCACTTTCACGAAGGCCGACTTGAGCAGACCATTCAGCCCATCCTTGAATAGTTTCCACCAGGCCAATAGCAGTGGTGCTAGTAAAGGAGCGATCATCCATGTAGTTGCTAGCAGCACCAGCCACATGCGGAAGCCTTTGTCGAATGTATCTCTGGCCAGCACTGAGATACAATGCAATCATCAGGGGTCCCCACGGATCACCCTGAGGAACCGCCATCTGCCCGGAACACAAAGTGGTGTGATCCGTCACTTGTTGCCAAGTGCACCAACGGACATGCTTTGTCCAAAAGTGACTACACAGATCGCTCATCAAATGACAGAAACCATTTTGTTTGAGGAGGGCACAGCAAGCACTGGGCCTCAAGAGGTCAAAGCATTTCGTAAAATCCAGGGAAGCCAAATAGCCATGTCTACCATAGGCATCCAAAATTCCCGCAGCACTGGTTTGGGCATCCGATTGCTTGCCGTAAACAACAGATTCATCCAAAACTTCCGAGATCCAAACAGTCATGTGACTTGTTTGAAGCCATGCGCTGAGCCATATCCGCCACCAAGCAGATAGCACGGTGATAGGGCGAACATCTGCAAGTCCACAAAGACCCTTCGCAACTTTGTTAGGCTTAGGCAAGAAAACAGCTCTAGCTTGTAGAAGGATAGTGGGCACCGACCCTTGTCGAAGCCAGCTCGCACTCAAAACCGTAAACAATTCCCAGACCCCAAGAGGCAAAGAGCCAAGTTCCTCGCCAGTCCATCCATCGGCACCTGCAGAACCGCGGCTATTCGTAGCCTGGGCCTTGACCATAATGGCAGTAGGGGGTTCCCAAGTGCTGGCCTCCCGGAGAGGAGTATCTTGAAGAAGTTGCTGGATGATAGCAGTGTCATCAGGTGATGAGTCATCACTTTCTTTCCAGAAGCCAGTCCAGAAATTTCGTAGATGCTGCACTGCTTTGTTAGGATCTGGTTCAGGGGCTCCTTGCACGCTGATGTGAACATTCTGCGGTTTATTTCGACTTTTCAACCATTTGGAAGCATACTTAATATCATTTTCGCTGCGTTCACGCCACTGAGCCAGCCGTCTTTCTCGGACTGACTTTTCAAGCTCAGCAAGAGCAGGTCTGGCATCATTGAGTTGATACCAGACATGGCGCAGACTCCATCCTTCTGATCCCAAGCGCAGTTTTTTGATCAAATCTTTGGCAGTGTTCTGAAAACGCCGCCGCACACTGATTTCTGGTTCATTGATGCTCTTCTGCAAACAACGCTGAAGTTCAAACAGCCGGGCAACTTTACGGCGAAGCTTAGCGACCTGCATATCCCCTTGAGCCAGCTGAGGATGACAACGTCGACGCTGTCGAGTTTTCAAGGAGGGCATGCGCCCTTTGATTTGCTTTTGTTTGAGCCTTTTGCCAGCTTCAGCTTGAATCACAGGGTGGTTGTTATTAGCAGCGATATCAGAGAAAGATTGTCTCATGAGAGTGTCCAAAAGGACCATGAACCTATCCCAGTCCGCATCAACATCCACCACATCAGCAGAGACTCTAGTCAGAGAGTTCTTAAAAGCCGAAACATCGTCGGACATGTTTTCCCAGACCTTCTCAACATGCTCTCTCCAAGTTTCTTGGTCCAACCCCGCCGGTTTAGCCCAGTTAGGACCCATTTGAAGGGCTTGAATTTGCAAATTAACGTCCCTGACAGGAATCTGAAGGCACAGTGGGACATGGTCAGAAACATGCAATTCAACGCACTGAGGTTGCAAGCAAAGACTATGATCATTACAGTTGAACCAGTCAATTTCTCGGTCAGATTGCCACCTAGTACCACGGTTGATTTGCAATGTGGTGCCCCCTTGCGCAACTAAGGCCGCCTCAATCGTACTGTCACCTGGAATTTCATTGGCATCACCACAGAAGAGCCACCTTTGAGCCTGACTCTCATGCAAGATTTCTGTAATCTGTTCAGCAACCTCGGTTTGGGCATTGTCCCGTCGATTGGATCGGTCAGGGGGCGCATAGAAAGTGCAAACAAACCAATCCTCAACCCAAATGCCAAGCGTTTGACTGCAGGAACCCAGTTTGTACAAAGGATTGCGACATGAAAGCCTGTTATCAATCAACATGGCAACTCCTCCAGCAGCGCGAGGTTGACCCCACCTATCCAAAGTGGTGTTCCCCGCCAGTTGGTAAACCTTGTAGCCACGACGCTGCGCAGCCCTGTGAAATGCTTGAGCCTCATAATCTTTCATCCTGGTTTCTTGTAAGCACCAAATCCGCAACTCGTCAGTTTTGCAACTACCATGTTCCAGCAAGGCCCAGGCCCCCGTGGCAGACTGGACATTGCAACAGTAAACACTAATCTGATTGATTATGTTTGCAGGGCCAGGGTGACTGGCCTCACCAATTCTCTCAGCATTGTGGCCCCCGTGTCGGAGGTCTGCCAGCTTCTGCTCCCCCCGCGGGAAACCAAGCTGCTCATATCCCGGAAGAACATGATTGTCAGAGGAAACACTTCTATAACCGGCAATGCGATCAACAGCAAGGTGAGATTTAGGAATGATGTTGGTCTTCCTCCAGGTCTCCCCATCAAAAGCAAGACAAGTCTGAATCGCAAGAGCATTGGAAGGATCATCAAAAATCATTTTTCTAAGGATAGTAATAGTTTTGCTAGGAGCCACCTCAGTAGTTCCACATGGGGCGCGCTTGAATTTCAATTGAGTACCCGTGATCAAACATCGAGAACACAAAGGGAGAACAATTTTGTGAGCATCAGGGGCACCAGGTTTGGGGCTGATCCAACAGGAAACCGGGACGTGACCTTTAGCTTCCGCAACCTTGGCAAGCCTCTTGTAATTGTTCTCCTGTGCCTCCCGCAGGGTCCTGATAATGCCAGTCTTGGAAGTGAAACTTTGAGCCGATTTGGGGTCCAAGTCGGGGTGTTGAGCTTTGAAATGTTCCATTTTGCTCCGTTCCAAGTTTGCTTTAATGCTGATGTGGGGAAGCCCAGCAGAACAAACTTTGCAAGTCCAAGAGCGCTCCTCAAGGGGGATGTGGACAGAAGCCTCATACACCTGCATGACATTACCAAGACGCGCACGGATCCTAATGCTCCTACGCTCTTCGCAAGTGTGCCGGGTCTGCAGGTGATTGCATTTGAATTTCAACAAGCGTTTGCGGGCGTTGGGGCCAGCAGGGATGGTGATGTTGAGCTGACATAAGGGGCAATGCCAACATTGATCTTGCTGAGGGCGTGTATCCGTTTCAGCTTTCCGTTTGGTGCCTTTGGGAAGGCGGGGATAAGCCGCGGTGTCCGGTCGAAACCCTTCTAAGTTGGTTTTGTTAATTTTGTTTTTATCCCCGTGTCCTTTTGATTTAGTGGCCTTGGTGTCACCTCGGTCATGCAACACCTTGGAAGACTTGCCGACTGTCTGGGCATCCTTATTGCCTCCTTTTTGACGAGAGATGTCGGTTTCGATACGACCTGTTCTCAAACCTTTAGGACCAGGCCGAGCTTTAGTCAAACTGAGTTTCACACTTCCCGAAGATTCCGAGGGCAAAGACAGTACTGAACTCTTGCCAACATCTGAAGGTGCAAGCGACAACATGTCAGCCATACTAGAGTCACAGCGATTTTTGGCTGTACATTGTTTCCCTGGTCTCCAGTTCCTCTCTCCAGGTGCAGAAGAAACACGACTAAGGCAACGTTGCGACGCTTTGCTGGATCCAGCTGGTAGTGAAAGAATTGAAGAAGCCGAGCCGCTAGGCAAGCTAAGGCACTGACTTTTGGGCCCTCTGGACCCCTTGGAAGAGGGGAGACTAAGCGCATCACCATCATCAGAGTCGTCAGCGCTCTGACTCTGTCCCCTGCTTTTTTTGTTTGCAATTGAACAGGCATTCGAAACTTCCTGTTTCGATTTAAGCTCCGAGCTGCTGGCTTTTGTGGAGCCTGAGGAGCGCGCGATTCCTTTTTTGAGTTCGAAAATTTTCAGCTCCTTGGTTTTAGGTGCAGCACCTCTGAGACAGCTGCGGTGCTGTTCACTGGTTTCGTGAAGCCACAGCGGAGGAGTGACGGTGTCAGCTGAAGGTTTCAGAAGAGTCCTATAATGACTATCTTTCAGAACCAAGAGAAGTGGTGAGAGTTTGCAGTCAGGCGATTTACCATTAGCTTTCCCGGACACAAGAAATCTTTGCCAGATACCTTCCGACCTTCGCCATTTGAAAATCACAACATCTCTTTCAATTCTCTCAGCCAAAGCCTTCCATTGAAGACCATCAATCCAATACCCTTGATTAGCAACCCAATTAGTGTACTCGTCAAAAGTCTTGGCCGGCTCAGTCATTCCAATGGCTTCATTTGGCTTTTCCAACAAATCTGGAGCCCATTTGTCCTTAAATTTGGGGTGTTTTTGAAGTTTCCCAACCGTCAGAACCCTCAAGTTGGCAGCCTCGCGAATTAAACCGCTGGGTGAAAGTGTTTTGTTTTGTGACTGAGCAACTGACAAAGCAGCACTTCTATATCCACAATCCCCATTGCCACCTCCATCCTTGATGGTCCAGGCAGGTGAAATGCCAGCCTTGTTCAAGTCCTTAAGCAGGATAGTGTCAGGGTCCTCAGGTTTCACATCATTTTGACCAAGAGAAGTCCGTCGAGGGGACCTTTCCCGGTGACCCTTCTTTCCATCTCCATCTTGTTTGTCTGTATTGTCATCATTTTGCGAATTGTCATCCTCAAGTGTAGGAGCAACCTCCTCATTTTTGGAAGCATCGTTTTGAAATTGGGGGGATTCCTTATCTGACCACATTTTTTTTGGTCCCCAAAGCCATTCCACTTCCCGAGGTTTTGGTTGTTTGAAAGTAGTTTCATGGACTACAGTGAGGTGCACGTCATCATCCACATAATGAAAATAAGGCTCCGCTGCGCTGGCTCACGTCCTATGGCTCTAAGGCTAAGTAGCCCTCCCGCCCAGCATCCAAACTCTCCTGAGCCAGTGCCTATCGGAAGGCAGGTTTGACCAATCGAAGACAAGCGACCTGAGGTAGCTTAAATGGGAGAATCACATTATATATATAGATATATAACCTAAACTTCATGGTACTGTGCCTCAATTTTAGGGTCCTGAAATTCCCATTGTTATATGGGGGGTTCCATAAATAGGCTATCCCTAAAAAGGATGGCTCGTAGTGGAACATCTTACTAAAATATGGGTAATTCGAAATTCCCATTGAATTCTGGCATCATGTTTTTTTCTAAACCCACCCAGGAATCCCATTAGAAATTCCCATTTTTCCATATTTTTCCGAAATCCCAGATGTTTCCCATAGGATCTGCGCAGGCCACCAACGTACTGGGCAAAGGTCATGTGGACAATGCCAGCCGGCAGCAGGCGAGGGGTTCGAGGGCGGATTTCATGGAATTTTAAGGCAATGAACCAAGGAAAACGGGGAAAAAAATGGGGAAAGATTGGCTAGAATTTCTAGGTCAATCTTACATGGATACTGTAAGCCTTCAGTCTTTTGGTATTAATGGGAATATCTACTAACCAGCAACGAATTTATTTTTTTGCGGGGTATCTAAGATTGGCTAGAATTGGATATCATGGTGAGATTTCATGATGATATTGGCGGAAAATGATGATACGCAACGTCAGTGGTAGATTTGACTGGGAACATCGGGAAATCACCTACCTAGCTTGGAATTTTTAATGGGAAGATCACCGTGAAGTGGGGAATTTACCCTCTGGTAAACTAACATAGCTGTTGAAAATCACAATTTTTAGTGGGTAAATCAACTATAAATGGTCCATTTTCAATAGCTATGTTAAATTACCAGAGGGTAAGTGATTCAACCATCATGACCTTTGAAAAAGAGCTTTGAATGCATCAAGAGCTATGGGGATAACATGGGATAGGGATACCTCCCATCATTTGGAAAAGCCGAAATCCAGAACCAGGTGTGGCCCTACGGGGGTTTGACCAACGAGATGCCAGGAATATCAACCAAACCCTTTGGTAAACCAACATAGCTATTGAACACGGCCATGTATTTCGTTGATTTACCCATTAAAAATTGTGATTTTCCATAATTTTTTGTATGTTTACCAGTACCTAACGTCCCGTATGATGGTTTGGCAATCATGATGACACCGCGCCGCGTTGGACACGCTAACGAATGACCGGGGGTTGAAAAGACCCCATTATTATCCCAAATCATGTGGTTAAAACAATAAACTATACCCATGACTGGGAATGGTAAACATACTTCACCTATTTATGGTGGTTTGGGGGATGGTTTATGGCATTGCTTTAACCACATTATATGCCAAAAAAAGGCAGGGTTGAAAAACCGTTTGATTTTCCGATTGAACAATTCCTGCGTTGCTCCCATCCCCTTATTTTTGTTGCCCCCATTGCCACATGTTTTACCAAGCAATTTCCATGCTTTCCGGTGGTTTGGAGGGACTTCAGTATAGCTCCGAGAGGTATCCATAGTTGCCCAATCGGGAGCTGCTCAGAGCTACTGAGTTTCTCTCAATTTCCAGTATGTGTTGGTTGAATCCCATTATTTTTTGGCAAAATCATCTGGTTGGTGGTTTGGAACATTTTTATTTTCTCAGGCTCAAAATGGGTGGCAAGGTCCAGCCTATACCAAGAGAAGTGCTAGAAAGCTTTAGACGCAGTTTAGCTATTCCAGGGTCTTACATTTTGAAAAGTGACAAACAATTGTTAGAAGCATTCTGTGATCCAAAACACTGGCTCAACAAATGCCTCATCCCGACCGCTGACGAAATTGGCTCACTTTCCCGCTTTCTTAGAGGAATCAGAAGGCAACAAGGGGTCGACAAAGTACTCGAAGCAGTGGATCAGCTGCTGCCTTTTGCTGCTCGAAGAGAATTAGAGGTGCCTCCGAAAGTATTGACTGCCTATCTGGAAGCTATCACGAGTGGCGATTTTGCCATCGGTCCTCGTTATGATACCCGAAAGCCGGGACAAGGAGTGCGTGAGTTTGAACTTGACGCTTCTCAAGCCTTAAAGTTCGAGGATGTGGCAAACGTGAGGTATGGGAATGTTGGCCTCTATGGGTTGATCTTGGAATTGAGAACTCATTCAAAGCTGAAGAACTATGAAAAAAGGAACATTTTGATTTTTCCATATATTGGGAATAATCATCCCAACTGACTTTCATATTTTTCAGAGGGTTGAAACCACCAACCGCTCATGATTTTTTTTGTTTTGAACACTGCGCAATTGTTCAGGACAAATTTATATATAGCGATTTCTGTTCAGTAGGGGTAGCTACCCCAAAATAGCCTTATTTCAGGAGGGGTGTTGATAAATCTGCATCCTGGCTTCGTGGCTTTTTCTCAATTTGTCCCAGGTTTTTGTTGATTTCTCAACTTTAGCTAGAGCCTATTATTTTTGTTTTATATGTGAACATGTTTTCTTTGTTATGTGGGTGGGGTTGGGATGGGGTGGGGCAGGATGTTAACGTTCACTTGAAACTGATTCCAATGTTAATGCTACCATGATGGTGGGATTTGAGGGATGATTTGATACGGTAATGGATGTCAGAGTGTTGAGGATTTGAGGACGATATGATACGGTGAAGATGTTACAGTAGGGTGCGGAGGATTTGAGGATGATATGATACGGTGAAGTTGTTACAGTAGGGTGGTGAGGATTTGAAGATGATATGATACGGTGATGATGTTAGGGTGGTGAGGATTTGAGGATGATATGATACGGTGAAGATGTTAGGGTGGTGCGGATTTGAGGATGATATGATACGGTGAAGTTGTTACAGTAGGGTGCGGAGGATTTGAGGATGATATGACACGGTGATGATGTTAGGGTGGTGAGGATTTGAGGATGATATGATACGGTGAAGATGTTAGGGTGATGAGGATTTGAGGATGATATGATACGGTGAAGATGTTAGGGTGATGAGGATTTGAGGATGATATGATACGGTGAAGATGTTAGGGTGGTGCGGATATGAGGATGATATGATACGGTGAAGATGTTAGGGTGGTGAGGATTTGAGGATGATATGATACGGTGATGATGTTAGGGTGGTGAGGATTTGAGGATGATATGATACGGTGATGATGTTAGGGTGGTGCGGATATGAGGATGATATGATACGGTGAAGATGTTAGGGTGGTGCGGATTTGAGGATGATATGATACGGTGAAGTTGTTACAGTAGGGTGCGGAGGATTTGAGGATGATATGATACGGTGAAGATGTTAGGGTGATGAGGATTTGATGATGATATGATACGGTGAAGATGTTAGGGTGGTGGGATTTGAGGATGATATGATACGGTGATGATGTTAGAGTGTTGAGGATTTGAGGATGGTTCGCCTGCACAACAAGAAGGCGAAGCAGTTGAACAAACGTGTTGCAACGTACACATTCTCATATTGTTTGGCGTTACCCCCTGCGCACAAAAAGGCCAATCTGCCGGTGGAAATTGCCAATTTGCCAATCTATGTCGGACAGAAAAACATCAGGCGTAGGCGCAACTTTGCCGGTGCCTTTAATTTTACTAATGCAATTGCGACAATGTGAGTGGAAAAATCCAAAGCGTCCCAAGGCTAAATACCAGCGCATGACCTTTCATATTTCAAGATACGTAGTGAATGATTTAAAAATTCACCTATCACACGGAATTCCCCAAAGACGATAGAGAAGTAGCTAATCACTATTTTGAATCGGACTTTACTTTTCTATCTTGACTTGCGGTAACCACCGCATTAGGTTTTTTTGTTGGAAAAGATCGCTACCTTTTCCTCCTGGCGCTGTCAGGTGGTGGACGAACTCATAGATTGTCAGCTGGAAGACAACTTGAAGGACACGTTCAACTTGTTCAAACACGTTTTTGTTGATATGGGCATGGGTCAAAGCCTATCATTCCCAGCTGACAGGGGAATCAAAAATCGCCAACGATTCTAGGATACCTAGGGTGCAACCCCAAGAAAGATAGGAAAACTTCAAGCTACCCTCTGGTAAACATACCAAAAACTATGGAAAATCACAATTTTTGAGGGGTAAATCCACTATAAATGGCCATTGTCAATAGCTTTGTTAAATTACGAGAGGGTATTATTGCATTTGTTCATTATTTCAGGAATTTGATATCTATGCAGTGGTTAGCTCCGAGAGCTGTTCGGGGCTTTTTTTTGTATCCTTACCAAATGGCGAGGGCCAATGAGCTACACTACAAATTTAGTTTCGCAACCACATGATCGTAGGTTTGGTGTTAATCCGAATCTCTTGTTTGTTTTGCTGAATCCCATAGTTTTTGCTAGTAGATTATGGGTTAAGAACAGGACTCACCAATACAGTAATATATGAGGATGTTTGATGGGATGCTTTCTGAGAACATTCAATGGGAAACAACGGGATATATGACTCTATCTAACCATCAATATTATCTGGTTGGTGGTTTGGAACATTTTTTATTTTTCCATTCAGCTGGGAATTTCATGATCCCAACTGACAAACTCATATTTTTCAGAGGGATTCAAAGCACCAACCAGTAATATCATTGATAAACCATATTATGCAAGATCACCATATTTATTTCCATACATATTAACCATATATCTCATTTTAACAGTATATCCATATAACCATCAACCAGTTATGACATGGGCGTGCCTGCTCACGGGTGATAATCCATGTGAGATGATCCATTTGAGCTGCTTTGATGACCATCAAAGCATATAAATAGAATTTAATATACATCCCAATGTTGGTTGGTTTAAATACCATTACATATAACTATATATATAATTTATATATATATATATTATATATTATAGATATATATTATAGATATATATCCCAATTCTCGGAACAATCCCATAAAATCCCTCCTACTTTTCCCCCAATTCCTTCGGAACAACCTCCGAATTCGTTTTTCAACACGACCGTGCTCCAGGACGTAGATTTGGCCAATGATCCGTCCAAGTTCACTCTGTCCCCTGGACGAGTTGGGTCGTGGCAACGGTGGCAACGGTGGCACAACGGGCAGCAGCGTTGAACAATGGGGGTTTTGAAGCAGCGTTGAAAACGGGGTGTTTGATATGGGGAGATCATTCTTCATCAACTAGTCAGCGTTTTTCCCATATGTTGTTTTTGGCTATGGGGAGATCATTGTATTATTGGAGAGGAAACCTTGACACGGTATTTTGACACGTGCAGATGGGTGAAATATGATAATTTATCCACTTTAATGGAAGATCATTGTGATATGACATGGGATGTGATTGTGAATGCGATGGGATTTAATGGATATGGGATATGATTGGAGATATTATATAACGGTTTGAAACATAAAACAATAATGTGGGGATAGAACGGGATATGATATGGGATATAGAATTGCAACCAATGAGAATTTCATGGAACAACATGATACAATGGGGGTTTTGTGGATACAATGGGATATTGCTCTAGTTTTACAAATATGGGAGGAATTATACAAGAACCACAATATCTGATTGGTGGTTTGGAATATTTTTTATTTTTCCATATATTGGCAATAATCATCCCAACTGATTTTCATATTTTTCAGAGGGGTAGGTATACCACCAACCAGATATGATCTAGAGATATGATGAGATTATGATGTGGGGATATCGTCTGACATACAGGTTTAACCGTCAAACATGGGGATGAGAATCGCTGATTAAGCGGCACAGTTATGGGTATTTGATAGATACCCTCTTGTAAACTAACAGTTTTCTATTGAAAATGTCCGTTTATAGTTGGTTTACCCATTAAACGTGGTGATTTTCCATAGTTTTTTGTATGCTTACCAGAGTGTAACACATACGACCACCAGACCCAGAGAGCTTCGGGCCTTCGGGCCTTCGGGCCTTCGGGCCTTCGGGCCTCGTCATAGTTATTGGTTGTTTGGAAAACATTCATGGGAAGGCCTTCGGGCCTCGTCATAGTTATTGGTTGTTTGGAAAACATTCATGGGAAGGAGTCAATACCTATTACCCTCTGGTAAACTAACATAACTATGGAAAATCATCATTTTCAATGGGTAAATCCACTACAAATGGCCATTTTCAATAGCTATGTTAGTTTACCAGAGGGTATATAAATGGGGGGATAATGTTGTGGATATGATTGGGGATATAAATCATTATAAATCGGGATACAGGGAGATTTCATGGGATATACAACCACTATATACCATATACCATCAGATATAATTATATACATATATGTATATATATATATATACACCACATTTGGAAGGATAGCCATCCATTTACCAAGAAGTTTGATCTTCACCAGGGCCTTCCAGTTCCAAGTTCCATGGAACATTGTCGTATATCCCAATTGGATCCAATTGGACAACAGAAACATGGGCTAACTATGGATTATATAATTATATCTGGTTATAGAATATTATATTGGATAATATGTAAATATAGTTAACTACATTATTTAATTACTTATATGTAATCCATATTATATTGATATATATGATATTACATTATTATAGAATATTAGATATATGGTTAATGTTCCTCAAATAGGTAGATGTATAGGACTAATGCCTCTTTGGGGGTATATGAAAATAATCTATTAACGTTGGATGAAATGCAGATACGGAATATCCACCATAAATCCTACGTAGCTTCGCTACAACTCAACTTACCTAAGGGGGGGCCCTTCCTGTGAAGTACAAAAATAGCACAAAATATAATTTTGACCCAATTTCATTTTTGTTGCCATGATTTCCTCACTAGAGTGGATCAAACCTTATAGCTAGCGCATTTGAGTATGGGTATGTCTGGGTCAAAATGTTGTTACCATTCTATTGTTTTGCTTGAAGATCCCTTTGTTGTTGGCTAAATGTCGATTTCTGTTGCTTACATCCCCAAGATAGCACATATTTATACATATTCGGTTTGTAAACAGGGTTCTACCGATTATTTTGCTATATAGGATTGGTCCGTAAGCCCCATCAAAGCACTTGGTTAAACCGTTTAACCCGACTACTAACCATCAACCAGGTTTGCACCCACAATCACACACACAAAATAGTGCGTTCTTTAGGGCAGTTCCACTCATAAGTCCGCAAATGACCATAATTCTTCCGGTAATCAAGCATGACAATTGAACATCCCCTATATATATATGAAAGTTTTACACTGAAAATCATCTAGAAATAAAGGATTTTCAATTGCCAGTGTTGATTCCCGGAGGGTATGTCCAAAATCATGGGGGATAACATCTGATGTTTATACCCATGTACTTTACACCAAGTGGTTAGTTATATGCCATGAACAAAAATCCCCATGACATCTCCCACCTTTTTCCCATCGTTTTTTCCAATAATATACCCTCTGGTAAACATACAAAAAGCTATTGAAAATGACCATTTATAGTGGATTTTCCCATGAAAAATGATGATTTTCCATAGCTATGTTAAATTACCAGAGGGTACCAGAGTTCACTGCAAAATATCAATAGTGGATGTAATGAGATATATCATGTATCCCATGTTCCCCATGAATTAGGATGGGATATTAATCGAAATATTTTATCCCACAATTTTATGCATCAAACACCTGTGATGTTTTATATCCCATGGTTATAGAATTTCCATTCCCAATTCCAAATGATGGAATTTGCAACCCTGAATGAGATTTATGTATATATATATATTCCCAATGAATCTTTAATTTTAACTTCCATAGCACAGTGGTCGTTGGAAGTTGTCCGCACTAACTTCCAATTCCATTGAACATTTGTGACTTCCAATTAGCTTTGTTTATTTATTCCCAACGAATGGGAATTTCATTTCATTTAATTGGGAATATAAACACTAATTCCAGTAATGGGAATGTCATTCAAATGATGTCATTTCATTTCAATGGGCATTTTGATATATGATTTTGAAACATTGAATGGTATTCATTTTTTTGATATATTCCCAGGGCCCATGGGATTCATTTGAATTGAATGAGAATGTCATTTCCATTTAATTTACTTGCGCTAAACGTAGGGAATGAGGGAATGATCCACAATGACTATCAATAATAATCCCATTTCCCCATTCCAAAAAAATCCCTACGTTTAGCACCAGTAAGTTAATTTAATCTTGTTGGTGGTTTGGAACATTTTTTATTGTTCCATATATTGGGAATTTCATAACCCCAACTGACGAACTCATACTTTTCAGAGAGGTAGGTATACCACCAACCAGTTATCAATCCTATTAATGTTATCATGATCCATAGTAACCATAGTAACCATAGTAACCATAGTAACCATAGTAACCATAGTAACCATAGTAATATTAACCATGGTAATGTATTGTCATAGTACCATCATGGTTACCAGTAAGTTCATTTGTATTCCGAGGCCATGTTTGATTGGCGCGCCCATGATTCGACACTTGGCGGAAAGCGATGGGATTGGATTGGAGATTCCGCGGAAGACGCGGCGTTCTTTTCGAAATTGTGTTTTTTTTTTGTAAGAAAAATGGTGGGTAGAATGCGGAGATCATGGGATTAAACTAAAAAAAACATGGGAATTCTTGTTTTTCTTTTGAATTCCATCCAGTACCGAATGCTGATTTTTCATGAACCTGCCATAAAGGGAGGTAGAGGCCACATTTTCAGACAAAGCATGACAAAGCCATGTTAAAGTGTAAGGATGAGTAAGAATTATCAAAGGTAGAATTGGAGTAACCGCGTAGATTCAAAGGTAAAATTGGAGTTGTAAGCAAGTAGTGACACTGCCACTGGTATACAAATGTTTTTGTATTATCAATATGTATCAATAATATACCACCGTATATTGGTGTTTTGTGTATACAAATCCAGTTTTGTTGATGGCTAGAGTGATGACAATGACCAGAATCCAGTCAGGTGACGGATGTCCTTTTTACAACAGGTGTATACCCTCTGGTAAACGTTTAAAAAACTATGGAAAATCCACCATGTTTAATGGGAAATTCACTATTTCTATGGCCATTTTCAATAGCTATGTTACAAATTACCAGAGGGTATCATTTATGTTTGATGGTTTGCCCAAATCAGTGCCGTTGTTGGATTCCCAGGGAAGACACCAGATTCGCAAGACACCAGGGTTGAGATAACAGTTGTGTGCCATGGTGATGACTTAGATACACAGTCGCGGGATGGTCATCAATCTTTCGAATTGGAATCCACTGGAAGGATTCCCATGGGATGGATGGAGCATACAACACATACCCTCTGGTAATTCAACGTAGCTGTTGAAAATGGCCATTTATATATTGATTTACCCATTAATAGCATGGTGATTTTCCAGTTCGCTATGTAAACGTTTACCATTTCGGGTACCATCGACCATGGCACATGTGAGAAGTACTGACATGGCTAGTGACATAGGTTGCTCCAACTCATGGGGAAAACAAGCTGTGATTGCCATGGTGGTATACCCTCTGGTTATGTCAAAATAGCTATTGAAAATGGTCATTTATAGTTGATTTTCCCATAAAAGATGGTGATTTTCCATAGCAAACTGTTAGTTTACCAGAGGGTACCATGCTATACTGTCATACCCATTAAGCATTCCAACTGTTTACAGAATGGTTTGTTCATGGTTGATAAAACATATCCCATCAAACACCCTCTATTGAACTATTAAACTAACGTGGCTATGGAAAATCAGTTTTTTTTTAAAAAAAACTTTTTTCTTTAGGTCAACCAACGATTGCCATGGTTATAGCCATGAAAGTCATCCCCGCCCCATCCAGTGAATCCAGTGTTATGCGACGCCAAGGATGCTCCCCATGGGTTCTAGAGCCAGAGACGGGGAGCACAACCCTTTGGAGTAAGAAGGCCACCGGGTGATTCAACTCACGGGGGATATTAATGGGATTTATAGTGATTTAATGGGATTTATAGTGATTTAATGGGATTTATAGTGATTTAATGGGATATTAATGGGATTTACCCTCTGGTAATTTTTCACAGTTTGTGAAATGGAAGGCATGGCCCATGAAATGTTCGTTGATCTACCTCTTATATAAAGGTGATTTTCGAAGTCGCTATGTAAACGTTTACCAGAGGGCAACTATACGTACTTATAATTTATAATCATCACAAACTGGTCATATAACCCTAGTTACTCTAGTTGTAAGCAGCTTTAATGGATTATTGCAATGGCTATGATTCATCAAGCCTAATGGATGACCAAGCTCAGCGGATTGGAATGGATTACCAATGCTTGGGTCAATTGGTTCATAAAAAATACCCTCTGGTAAACTAACATAACTGTGGAAAATCACATTTTTAATAGGAAAATCAACTATAAATGGCCATTTTCAATAGCTATGTTAAATTACCAGAGGGTACCCTCCAGTAGTTTCCAGAAACTTGGTTTATAATTTCCATTAACTAGTTCGAGATATCTAATATAAACCATACTTACCCTCCGGTTTGCTCAGACGGCTCAGACGTGACGAGCTTGACCATCCCCTATAAATGGAGGTTTTTGTGGGAAATCATTTAGAAAGTGGAGATTATCCATTGCCATGTTTGATTACTGGAGGGTATTTTTGGTTGGTGAAAAATGGGGTCACATTTTTTTGCCGGCTTGGATCAGTGTCATTTCTGGTTGGTGGTTTGGAACATGTTTTATTTTCCATTTCATATATGGGATAATCCTGGATGTCATCCTTCCCATTGACTTTCATATTTTTCAAGATGGTTGTTGCACCACCAACCAGCATTTTGTTGGAGTGTTTTCATAATGAAACAAGGGAAGGTCACCTGCTCAAATCGGTTAGAGAAATTTACTTAAACTGTGGAGTTTTCGATGGCCGGGTTGGAGTACCGCAGATTAATTTAAATATCATGTTACTTACTACGGTTTCAATCGGGTTACATACCCTCTGGTAAACTAACACTTTGCTATTGAAAATGGCCATAGAAATGGTTGAATTTCCCATTAAAAATGGTGGTTTTCCATAGCTATGTTTGTTTACTAGAGGGTATATCATCTAATGAACATGATTTGGCGGAAGGTCGAAATAATCTTGGGTGCGAAAAAAGCAGACTGCTCAGATGTGTGGGCCCAATCAAACCCTTTGTTTGTGATCCATATATAGAACTCCTATCATGTAACCCATATATGATTTATATATGGTTTATAATCCAGTGGGGATATTCCATATATCATTGTTTGTTCTTCACCCATTTACGTTTCGGGCCACCCCCTGGCGTGGCTGATTCTTCGAAGCACGGAATTTACTGAGGTCACCAATGAATGGAGCTTTCCAACAAGTCATGGGGGTAGCACAAAAACGCGGGGGATGGTTTACAATGGAAAATCCCAATCAGAAATGGATGATTTAGTGGTAGCCCTTACAAAAAAAGGAAACCTCCGAATCAACTCAGAAAGAAGTCAAAAATCACTGGAGATATTGAATCACTTGATAAGACGCTGCTTTTTAGACCCTGTTTCTGGCTTCATTCACTCAGAAATAGGGTATATGGTTATGGGTCAAAGTTCCCCCAAGCCCCAGGGTTGCTGGAGTTGGCCATTTTGGATGTATCAACTCCCCTCTGGTTATGTCAAAATAGCTATTGAAAATGGCCCAGAAATACGTAGTGAAATTTCCTATCAAAAAATAGTGATTTTCCGTAGTTTTTTGTATGTTTACCAGAGGGTAAATCCTATTAAATCCCATTAAATCCCATTAAACCACCATAAAAACCCATTAAACCATCATAAAATCCCATTAAATCCCAATGTTAGTTTACCAGAGGCTATCCATTTTTCATGGGACTGGCTTCGGACCCATAGCCATAGCATGCCATGGTGTTACAACGTAGCGTCATAGCGCTCATGAATATCTTCACTGGCTATTTCAGGTTCCTAAATTGGAGGTACCTACCATATATAAGGTCTATGTAAGGCCTATGCAAGGGGATATCCCTAGAAAATATGGCCTGAAAATTGCATTTTAGGATCCTGAAATTCCCATTGATATCTACAATAAACTGGGCATAACTGGGCTATAAGTGTCATTCAACTAGGCCATACAGTACGGCATTTATGATCATTTATGGTCATGCCATCATGTGGTAAAGTCAATACAATGTGAGGCCCCCCAGTTATAAGTTGGTTAACAAAAGCCCCAGTAACTAGTTCGTTATAAATGCCATAAACCATAGTTAAATTGGACTTATTTGCACCAACTTAGCTATCGAACGGGTGCCTCACATTGTAGTAAACCATCCCCAATTTGGGGTATTGATATGTATTGAGTATACGCTATACCATGGTCTACCCCTAGGGCCTTGGGATGATTTACCTGTTGGGGTTTATCAACGGGGTACGAAAAGGTGATGTCCTGCCAGCCCAATCAGAAGCCAAGGGTGAATAAAGTTTGCTGACATCATCCAAGGATATAGATATTATGGAATACACTGATATAAATACAACGATCTTAAATTCAAGTAAATAAGAACATGATATATCAATATATATATATATATTTTGTCAAAGGGAACACAGCGGTAGCACATGTAACAATGAACAATGTTACGGCCATCATGGCTCAAGCGCCCGCAAGAGGAAAACGGCTGCGCGCTGACTGCAATGCCTGGGTGAGGTTCGGTAATAACCAGCACACAAGGTACTACCATTCGACTACATCCGGAACAAGGATTCATTTGTTCACAGGTTATCAGCCGTAAGGGCTCACTTCTCCCGCCGGGAGAGTGGTACCTGCGTGCTGGTAGCCGGGCCTTCTGAGCAATTGATTGAGGACGCAAAGGACCAATCAGCTCACCATCGCAAAGATGCAAGGCGGCAGCGGAGATTCGCGCACCACGCAGTTTACCTTCAATGAGAACGCTGCTATGCCGGTCGAGGAGGTCAATCAATCTTCCCCTGGCGACACGGCAGACAGTGGCGGGATACGCTCTACCCGAACTACACAGTCCGGATGGCAAGTCACATCAAACAGACGAAGAATATCCACCCAAAGTACACCTAGATCTTCTCGAAACAGTGCTCGGAGTGATGTTGTCCGCCAAGGGCATCGACCATCTCGAGGACGTACTACTCCAAGGGACAGATCCACCAGGGCCGTGACCGACCGAATTGGTGAGAGGACCGGGGATAGTCGTGTTAAGAGGAGATCAACGGATACTTCTGTGGCTAGTGAACCTATTGCCATGATAGAAGAACTACGGGCACAATGTCAATCCCTACGTAATCAGCTGAACAACATGGAAGCATACGCTGCATCCAGGGATCAACTGATTCATGACATCGAGATCAGGTTCACTGAGTATCTTCGGGAACACAATCAGAATGTATTTGATGAGGTCAATGCACTCAATCATAGATTGTCATGTTCCGCAAATGAGGTTGCAGAATATCAAGCAGAACTAATGGTAGCATCTCAGGAAGATGAAGGTGCAACAATACGCATCCAAGACCTTGAACGCCGAGGTGCCCTAATGGAACATGGTGCACGACGGATCCATCAACGTGGTATGGAGATCCAGGAGGAGTACAAGGATGAAGTACATCACCTTCAAGGACTACTGGGTAATACGGAGGCAAGACTACAACAACTTCATCAAACCAATGTCTTAACCACCGATATTGCCAATCGACTATACAATGAAGGTCAAGAAATGCAAAATGATTTCCAGAACTCAATCATGGAATATCGTAATCGATCTGAAATGGCATCCTCCTCTAGTAATCAACTTGAAGTGATTAGCCAGCAACAATCAATTACAGTTCATGAATTATCTGAGCGAAATCAGCTATTGAGTGAAGCCTTGGTTCAGTCTCGTAAACAGGCCGAGCTGTATGAGAGCAGTATTGACGAGATCACTAGAGAGTCTAGGAAGAAGGTGTTCGAGGCAAATCAGGCCAAATTGGAAAGTGATCTGAAGCATCGAAACACTGAACATGATACCGTCAAAAGAATTGCATCATACAGGAACCAAGAGGCCGAAGCAATATCTCACCTGAGGCTTGAATCACAGGCTAGTGCAAACTCGATCGCAAGGGCAGAGCACTATGAAGAGCTCTATGCCAACGAGCAGAAGATGAACTGCGAATTGAAGGATGAGATCAAGTTGCAGAACACGAAGTTACGAAGATCATTGACTCAGGGTTCTACGACCGACGGTCGTGGCCCCGAAGAGATGCTTGTTGAAGATCTACGTAATCAAGCTAAGATCGCTCAAATCAGGGTTCAGGATCTAGATCATGAAGTTCATGAATGCTTACAAGAGAACTTGTTGTTAAAAGAAAGGTTGGCTGAAGTTGCGGATGTAGGGGCGTCGTCCCTCACCAATGCTGAGGCCCGAACTCTAAGATCTGAACTAGAGAGTGAGCGAAAATTAAAATTGGCGAGTGGTGTTCAACAATATGAGAGATCATGCATGTTCATGGGGGAAATCCAGGATAGGGATGAAAAGATTGGCATCAAGAATTCTGAGATTGTTGACATGAAACGTCACTTAGATGAACTGAGAAAGAGTCTCAAGGATTCTGAAACATCTATGGCTAGGATCAGTCCTGACACACTTCCCTATTCGGCAGGCATTCCCAACTCCGATCTCGCATCCAGACTGGTCATCGACAAACTGGAGAATGACGTGAGTGAGGCTAACTGTGAAAACGCTATTCTGAAATCTTGGGTTTCGCAGATCGACAAGGAGTTGACTTATGAGACAAATGTGGCTCATTCCTATCGTGGGCATGCTGTACCTCCTCAACAACCACAGCATTCTCAATCAAGCAAAAGAATCGCTGATCTACTGAAAGAGGTTGACAACAAGATCGCTGGCGGAACTGAGAGGGAA